ATTATGCCCTCTGCCAGAAGAAGAATGTCTACACACCAGCTGCACGTTGTACGCTTCCGATTGGTTAAGATGCGTCCATCAGAAGCGAGCAACAAATCTGATTGGACGTTTCGGCTGTCACTTCTGTTCACTCCCCGCTGTGATTGGCGAGCGTTCACGGAGCTCCGCTTCAGGTTGGTTGACCACTCTCGCGTGCCTTCGTTAGATGATAAGCTAGTGGTGCTGATGCTGTGACAATTGGGCTCTTCTAGATATGCATCTCCTAGACCAAGTGTAAAAGAAGTCGAACAAAGAGACRAGACTGGACTTTCTGCTGCTGCGTGGAAAGGGTAGGTTTTTTTTCTCCGGAAAATAAACTGACAGGTCCGGGTGTCCAGCCGGGTGACGCGCGGGGAAGGGCGGGGGGGCTACCAGGGGGCTACCCTCAGTTACGTTAAATGAGGCTGTAAAAACCACTGGGTTCAGTGAAAGCGAGGTCAGCAAACCTCCAGGTTTCGTGTGTTTATGGTGCGTTTCTTTTCTAAGTCAGAGCAGAGCAGTGAGCTCAGTGAGGATGTTTATTAGCGTGCTGGTGATGCAGCTGTTTAATTCAGCTGTGAGTCAACTCACCTCCATGCTTGGTCCACTGCATTGCGGACAACATGCTTTAGTGAAAAGCATCCTTATTCAAATCAATGAACAAGTGTTTGTCAAAACCTAATTTTTAATCTCATTGAGCTGTAGCTGTCATCTATTCTCTCAGACTGKTTTAATCGGACTCATTCATTAACTGTGTATACAGATCTACATTTAAAYTGGTGCAAAAACAAGAAATTATTGTTACATTTCAGAGAGTAAACTCGTGTGGTGCACATATTTTCGCAGTGAGTTGCTTTGCATGCTGGGAATTGAAGTTTGAATTGTGTTTATACTGAATGTTGCACAGTTATTTGCATATATGTATTTATAGCTACTGTCATTAGAAGGTGTTCAGCTTATTTGTGCTCTCTCAGTCCAGGGATGGGGGTGTTCAGCCGACAGAAGTTTTTCCAGGAGCTCGCTCATGGCTGCCTGCTGCCCACAGCCCAGCAGGGCCTGGAGCAGTTCTGGCAGCTGCTGGTTATCTGTCTGCTGTGTCGACTGCTCTGGATGTTGGGTAGGAGTTCAGTTATTTTTTTTAAAGGTGTATTTCGCCTGTCCTACCGCCTGCATCCTAAATAAACCATCACTGTGCTTTGTCTCTTAAATCTTGCTTCATAAGGCCTTCCTTCATTTGTGAAACACATGAGCACGGTGGCTGGAGGTTTCTACGCTCTCTACCTGTTCTTTGAGCTCCACATGATCTGGGTGGTTCTTCTCAGCCTTCTGTGCTACCTCTTCCTCTTCCTGTGCCGTCACTCTACCATCCGAGGCACCTTTCTCTCTATAACCGTGCTCATCTACCTGCTCCTGGGGTAAGAGAGTTATTTCTTGATGCCTGGCACTGAATACCTGGCAGGCGTCAAACACTCTCTCAGTCTGTGTTGTAGTGCCTGTACACTATGCAATAAATTAAAATGTAAACATTCTTCTCTGTTTTYATCAGGGAGCTGCAYATGATGGAGACCACCAATTGGCACAAGATGAGAGGTGGAATAGAACTCACCATATTATGCATACATGATACTTCATCTCAATATATCTTGAATTATTTTAGCCATAACTTAAATTCTCTGTCATCCAGGTTCACAAATGGTGGTTGCCATGAAAGCCATCTCTCTGGCGTTTGATTTGGACAGGGGTGTTGTAGCGAATGTCCCCTCACCCGTTGAGTTCATGGGCTACATTTACTTTGTGGGCACGGTCATCTTTGGGCCCTGGATCAGCTTCAACAGCTACAAAGAAGCTTTAGAAGGACGTAAGCTGGTGAGCGAATGAAAAGACACGTTCAGCTGTTTGAACATTTTATCCTGAGACGGCGGCGGTCTTGGGAGGGACCTTACAGGTTGTCCTTGTTTCAGAGTTTAGCATGGCTTTTCAAAGTGTCTGTTAGCTGGGTGAAGAGCCAGATCTGCCTTGTGATTTCCAACTGCGTGGCGCCCTACCTCTTCCCCTATTTCATACCCATTTATGGAGACAAGCTACTGCGAAGGTGAGCGAGGTACAGAAATACAAATGAGTTCCCGTTGGAATGCTAATTAAGGTAATGCTTCTGCTGTCTGTTTCATTTATAGCAAAAAGAGGAGGAAAATCAAGTAAGTAATTGTCCAGAATTGTCCAGAATGCTCCCGACATCGACTTCATTTTCGCTCCGTTGCTGCACACTCGTTCTCTGTCCACCGTGTGAGCAAAAAAGCTTCACCTGCATGCATCGTCCCCCCCTCCCTCTCTGTGCAGCTACATGTGTGCCAGGATGTTTCTCAACCTCTCATTTACCATTTCACCTCCTTGAAAACGTGGTGAGACGTACGTCGTCGAAACGCAAGTCAGTGAAAGGTTTGTGTAAATGTCGTGGATCACTAATCCCGCTCTCTTTAACCCATCGCGTCTCAGAGGTTCACCGGCAAAGTATGTCTCACCGTCTCGTGCTGTGTGATCTCTAAATGTAGCTCGGTTTGAGTTGAAATGGAACCTGGTGCTCTGATGCTCCTGTGTTAGGTGGCTGCTGGCGTACGAGAGCACCATGTCTTTTCACTTCAGYAACTACTTTGTTGGTTACTTGAGCGAGGCTACCACGACGCTGGCCGGGGCAGGCTTCACAGAGGAGAAAGACAACTTAAAATGGTCAGAGCTGCAGGTGCACCTTTTAACATTTTTGTTTTTTTCCACATTTCTTAAAAGCTGCTTTTCACCTCTTGTTTCGTAGGGATATGAGTGTGTCAAAACCACTCAGTATCGAGTTTCCTCGGTCCAYGGTGGAGGTGGTAACGTCGTGGAATCTGCCCATGTCTCGCTTTCTACACACCTGTGAGTTTTACCGCTAACAGCGACWATCCAAAGCAGCAGTTATCCGTTTACTAAGCTGAAGCTCTCACCCCACAGACGTGTTTAAGAGCGCACTCAAATTCGGGACGTTCACGGCCCTGGTGGTGACGTACGCAGCCAGCGCCCTCCTGCATGTGAGCGTTCTGCGTGCTTTCCTCTTGATTCGAACGGCCTTTGTGTCAACAAGTGGTTTGTTTTGATTTGAACTTTTTGTCTATTTCAGGGTTTGAGTTTCCAYCTGGGGGCAGTGCTGATGTCTCTGGCGTTCATCACATACATTGAGCACGGTATGTTTTTTTTTTCTCTTTTTTCACATTAGAATCGTTCCATTTAGAGGAAGTGCTTAGCTCTGCAGTAATGGTTAATTGCAGCCTCCATGACACGCCGTTTCTGTTCACTGCAGTGCCTTTAATTTTCTTATTATGGTCGGAAAGGAGCTCCTCCGCTCGTTTCATTCGAATGCTTCTTGTTTTCTTTGTTTCAGTTCTGCGGAAGAGGCTTGCCGCCATTTTTAACGCCTGCGTGCTGTCAAGGAAATGTCCACCAAACTGCAGTCACCAAAACAAAAAGGTACTAATGATTATTGATGGATGATGCAGACTTAGTACTTTTGATTATATTGTTTGTTTATTCAACAAAAATAAATACTGTATATTGAAATTAAAGGCCTAGCACTCCTTGAAGGAAAGCATATCAGCCGCCACCTTTCATGCCAGAGTTTGAAACTGAGGTTACTTTATGCCATGGTTCTTAGATTTTTTTTTTAAATATCACCATATTTTTCCCCACTGCTGTACAATATATTCTACTTTGTTTTTACTTTTCGCAAGGTATGTTTTATTTTTAAATACATATTGAACTTATTTTTATGCAGCACAAAGTCTAACATAATTGGGTGCTGCAGTAGCTCGGTCAGTTCTGCTGTTATGTAATCCTATTAGAAAATGTGCCTTCCGACAACAAGCGGTGTTTCTCACAGGTATTATTGTGTCTTTCAACCATTTTATCTGTACAGTTAATTGCTGACATTTGCTTTCACAGCAGGAGGTGGATTCAATTTTTTTATTGTTATTTAGAATAAACTAGCTGGGTGAGTATCACGTTGGGAAATAAGAGACTCTACACTGACTGTATTAGTAAAGAATCATGATATTCAGTTTATTCTGTTTTCACATCTGCTGCAGTTAAAATACATCAACTTTATCTGGACTGCCTGGTCTTATATGGGAAATTTACAGAAAAAGAGGCTTGGCAGTTTTAATTTCTTTTAGATTAGTTGCACACATTTCAAAAGCAGGGAGTGGAAATAATTTATGGGAAGAAAAAGCCGCCAGCATGATGAAGTACAGAATATTATAGTTCTGATTGCAAGTCAGACTTTGATCAACTGATGCTGATTTATGTATTTCTTTATAATGTTGCAAATATTTTGAGGGCATTTTTTTATTATTTCTAAGCAGACGTGTTCTTTAAAATGATTAATCTCATGTAGATTGTGTAACCTATYTATTTTATGATTATCTGCAGAAACTATGGGTGTATTTGATTAACATAGCCTTTAGTGCTTTGGCAATACTTCACCTGACGTACCTGGGCTCTGTGTTCAACTCCAGCATAGACTACACGGAGGAGGACGAGGTAAGATGAAAGGCCTCATAGAGGAAACTGGTACACGTAGCACAAAAAGTTAGGAAATTTTTGTTTGATACATTGTTCCTTTGTTGTAACAGTGCTTCTTGGCAATAAATCTTATACYGTTGGAAAACCTGTTTATTTTCCTCTTAAATGGTGCCACATTTGTAAGGAACAGGCAAAGAAATAGCCAGAGTCAGCCTTATTAGACTTCATGTTGAAGCTGGTCAGGATGCTCAGATTATGCTAGAAAGAATTCCCACTTTGTTTTTTTGTTTGTTTGTTTGTTTTTCTGTATTGACTCATACATTGTGTCTTCTAAATGCAAATGGAAGCCATCATTAGATGTTAGAAGCCTGAGATGACATACATGTAAATTCTTGATCAAACTGTCCAAGTTTTAATATTGAAAGAAAAGGTTTATTTGTCCCACCTTCCTCGTTGTCCATCTTATGCAATCACAGCCTGACAGGATAAAACTCCAGACTGTATTGGCTCTCCTCTCCTCTAGTTTGTCTCATTTTTCTCTCATAAAAACAGATGACCATGGTGAGCCTTCGTTTGGTCAGAGGATGAGCTGTCACATGTGATGTTTGCAACAGCACAGCTGTTCTGCTGGCCTTTAGTTTTCATTGTTGCAGCGGTGCTGAAGGTTGTTTCTGAACAGGGGTGGGGCCAGGGGGTGGCCATGGCCACCACAGACAAATCTTAGGCCACCCCATTGGCCACCCTGCTGTACACACCCCTTTCCACAGTGAAACAACCTTTAGGAGTGTAATAATCCTCCTGAACAGTTGGTGGCAGTGTTTAACAGTTTGAAACATCACCAAGCTCAAAGAAGTGATTGTTTTCTTTATATACAGAACATATGCCTATGTAATTTTACTTACTTACTTTTGGACTTATGGTGATAAATGTTTTTTATTTTATTTTCATTTTATTTTATTTTATTTATTTCATTTTATGTTCTGAATGCTGCATGATTCTCTGTGTTTAGATATGAGTAGGCCTATCACTAAATCAAAAAAAAGGAAATACCCCTCTAAATTCATTGTTGGTGGTTATCAATATTGCACCTGTTCATTGGGTAAAATTATTAACGTGAGTTTTTAACATGCAGCTGAGGGTCATCATTATTTGGCACAATGACATGTGTTACAATAAAAAATAAATCAATAAACAATATAGAAGTAAAAAGCACCCCTAAAGTCATTGGATATGAGAAATCGTGACACATTAATTAACCTTATCTCAGCTGCAGCAGTGAGTTTAAAAACAGGATGATGGAACTAGATTAATTAAGAATCTGTCTCTGAAATAATTATTAAATCAAGTGTTTATTTACGTAGGTAAAAGCATGTTTACCAACCTGGTAAAATACACCAAAATGCAAGAAATGGCATCTATTTCATTCAAAATTTTCTGGGGGAGGACCCCCAGACCTCCCAACAGTGTGTCCCCCCACTTTCAAAATGTTCTGACCCCCATGTTTATGAGGTCATTGCCTGTTTAAGAACATGAGGAAATGACCAAAACACAAAGATCTGCAGAAACTTTCAATTAAAAAATTATGTAATATTCCTGGCCACCCCTGTGTGAGTAGTGGTCCCCGTCTGGCCACCCCTGTGTGAGTAGTGGTCCCCGTCTGGCCACCCCTGAGAAAAATGTCTTGCTCCGCCACTGTTTCTGAAGAGTGGGTTGAGCTGAATGGGAGATAAAAACTAAAATGATCTGTTTGACCCAGAGTGACCCACCAGTTTCCTTAAAGATTTCAAAGAGTGTTTTTTTCCTGCTAAAACCTGAATTAGTTCTTGAAGCTGGAAAAGCTGCCGGTCCTTGTCATGTTTTTTTTTTTAATTACACACCCTCAGTAAAACAAGACTAATGTTCCTTCAAAAGCAGGGTTATCATCAAAGTTAGTGCAAAAAAATTAGTAAAATGGCTCTGAAAACACACAGTTATTTTTATCTTCCAGGATGTTGGTTCAGTTTTGTTTGTTTTTTAATATCAGAATCAGAAACACTTTATTGCCATTGTCAGTAAACGAGTTACAGACTAGGAATTTGCTCTGGTGTAATGGTGCGCATAAGCATGGAGTAAAAGAACTAAAGCTAAGTGGTTGAAATTAGGAAGGAAAACAAGTCAGAATACAAAACGAAGAATTTATCAGCTGATTTAATCATATATTTCCACATAAACATCTCTGAAATTCTACACATTTTGATGCATTTTTTATTTAAGGATTACAGCCAATCTAAACAGGTCAGTCATTTGACTCAAACGTCCATTTTTGGCAGGGCAGGATCAGCAAAGAGCTTTGTTTACATGGAGTGTGTACCTGCATTTCAACTGCATCCTTAGATTTAGTTCATGTTATTTTTTATGTTTGATTTCATACTTTGCAAAGAATAACTTTTAATCATTTCCACAGTCTGAGTTTAAGCATCAACTTAATGGTCATATAACAAATACTAATGCATTCTGATTTATGCAGCTTTTATTCTAAAGATATTTTTGTCTTTACCCAGTTCAAGATTTCTTAATTTCTTGACATTTGATAAAAACACACAAACATTTGAAAATGCCTCATCCTCAGTCCGGTTTGGGAACCACAGCGTCTCGTCTCTCCTTTATGTGGATGATGTGGTTCAGTTGGTGTGTTCAAGCCAAGACATTCAGCAGGCACTGGTGCATTTCACAGTTGAGTGTGAAGCAGCGTCTGAGACCATGGTTCTCACAGAAAAAGGGTAGAATACCCCCTCCGAGTTGGGGTGGAGTCTTTGCATCAGGTGCAGGAGTTTTAAGTATCTGGGTGTCTTCTTCATGAGTGATTGTGAGACGGAGYGGGAGTTGGATCGACGGATTGGGGCCTCGTCCTCAGTAATGAGGCTGTTGCTTCAGTCGGTCGTGGTGAAGAAAGAGCTGAGTCGAAGGCAAAGCTCTCAGTTTGCTGGTCTGTCTTCATTCCAACCCTCACCTGTGATCATGACCGAAAGAACCAGATCCAGGATACAAGCGGCCAAAGTGAGCTTCCTTCGTAGAGTGGCCGGGTTCAGCCTTAGAGATAGGGTGAGGAGCTCAATCATCCAGGAAGAGCTCAGAGTAGAGACGCTGCTCCTCCACATCGAAAGGAGTCCGTTGAGGTGGTTCATCTGATTAGGATGCCTCCCTTTAGAGGTGTTCCAGTCACGTCCCACTGGTGGGAAGCCTCGGGGAAGACCCAGGACTAACCGTAGGGATTATGTATCCTCTCTGGCCTGGGAACGCCTCAAGGGTCCCCCAGGGCGAGCTGGATAGTGATGCTGGGGAGAGGGATGTCTGTTTTTTTTTTTTTTTTTTAATCCTAGACCTGTTGCCTCCTCAGCCTGGAGATGGAGACACAAACA